GGGCCGCGCCGGGCCCAGCCTAGCGACCCGCTGCGGGGTTCCCCGGCCCGGCTGCGCGCGGGGGCTCTGAGCGGCCCGGGTACCTGCTGAGGCCCGCAGCGAGCGGGGCCGCCGGAGTTTCTCTCTGGAGCGAGGTTCCCCCTCGATGCGGGTGGGGTCCCGGTGCGACAGCGGCTTGCAGGGCCTCCCTGGAGGAGCGGGGTGAAGAGGTGCGGGGGGGATAATTAATTTTATTCTGTAATTGCTGCTTACGAGGGAGGGAGAGCTCTTTCCCCGTCAGGCGCCGGCTGCAGGCTCCCGGGCCTGCGGGAGGGTGCAGGGCCGGGCCCGGCCTGTTTGCTTTGCCCTGCCCGGCCCGTGGCCTCCCTGTGCCAGGGCCCTCAGCTTGGCATGAGCTGCCCTGGGGAGCAGGCGGCGCTTCTCCTCGGCTTGGGCAATAAACCTCGGTGGCATTTCCAGGCCGGCCTGGCCCGCCGGGGGGGGGTGAAGGCAGGCAGGTAGCGACCCCGGCCCTTGGCAGAATGACAGCTCCTCTCTGGTAACAGCACACAGCCAGCTGCCTCTAAGCGGGGGGGGCGGTACATTTTCTGCTCACTTTGAACTTGCTGTGATAGTGCTTGAGTAATACAGTCTCTTCCTCAGGAAATATTTGGCCGCTGGTGAGGTTACAGATCCTGCTCTTCTCCCCGGTGTGGGAGGGGCTGTGGGCCCATCAGATGTTAAGGTGCAGGCTGTAATCTTAACCTGTTCTTCAGGGTCACGCTGCAGGTGCAGGCCTAATGCCTCTTGTGAGCAGAATCTCATGGTAATGTGTTTTTTTAGGCACATCACCCTTCAGTTCAAAATATTCTGGTAAATGTCCATCACAGAACTTTGCTGAAAAGTTAAAATGTCTGTGTAGTATTTCCCTGAGACTGATGATACCTCTTTTTCTCTCTCTTTTTCTTTTTTTTCTTTTTTTTATAAAAAAAGAGTACCTAAACCAGTGGAAATAATTGGAAGCTTCCTACTAATAACAGCCTGTTTCAGTGTGGTCCTTACTGCCTGCTTTACTGACATAAAGAGAATGACATATATGGCAGTCTCACAAACTATTTTAGTTCTGTTAGCTGTGACTTTTTTTGTTGTTATTTTTCCATTTCATTCCATTTGACCAGTGATAATTGGCTAGCCAAACTTTTTTTTTCTCCTGTCTATAGTCAGTGTCCTATTTTTGGTTTGTTTGTGTGAAGATGGTGCTGGTGTGTTTTGGTTTATAATCTTCCAGGGAAGTGTGCAGGGAGGGTCATAAACCTGTAGTAGTGTTTGGTGCCTCTTTTTTTTTTTTGGTGTGTCTCTTGTTTTACTTCATAGAGCAATATTGTAACTTTCGTCCTTGCCCTGTTGAGCAAAACTGAAAATTAGATGCTGGGTACAAGCTTCTGCAGTCAGTTACCCTTTTTAACTTTTTGTAACTGTAGACACCTCCTTCAGAGGAGACTAGGTGAAAAATCATAGTAACATCAAAAAATAAATTGGAAGCGATCCAAAGCATCCTCTTGTCTTAGTTATCAGTAAAAGAATTTAATGATTAAATTATATCAAACATTTACTTATACAATCACCTCCATAAAAGGCAGTGTTAATTAAATCTGTTACTGCCCAACCACAGGCCTTCAGCTAGAACCTTTTCTCTGCTATCCCAGGCGTGGATGGAGAGCATGATACCACACTGTTATTCCCGCAGATGTTCCCAGAAGACGCTGAGAGAAAGGAGCAGGAGCATACACGATAGTCCTGCCTCGGCACAGTACAAGTCTAGGTTTGAATTGTTGCCACCTTGAAAACTGGGCTGTATTTGAAATTGTAATAGTCCCGCCAAAATGATGTAATTTCACTTTTAACAAGTCCGTGGCAACAGGTACAGGTTTACAGAATAGCTTCTGGAATGTTCTAGCACTTGAATGCAGTGTTTCATTCAGTGTAACGCTCGGAGGCGCTGCCCTGTTAATTGCAGGGTTTTGGTAGGCCTAATACCACAGCCCCAAGCCCTGTGGGGGAAAATACAGCCCAGTTCTTGTTCATAAGTTTTAGTTCTGTGGGTTTTTCCCCCTTCCCCAGAACCCTTGATCTTGAAGATGGTGAGTAGCCAGCCTAAGTACGATCTAATACGGGAGGTTGGTCGTGGCAGTTATGGTGTGGTGTACGAAGCAGTCGTCAGGAAGACCTCTGCCCGGGTCGCGGTGAAAAAGATTCGGTGCCATGCTCCAGAGAACGTGGAACTAGCTCTGCGTGAGTTCTGGGCACTTAGCAGTATCAAGAGCCAGCATCCCAACGTCATTCACCTGGAGGAGTGCATCTTGCAGAAAGATGGTATGGTGCAGAAGATGTCCCATGGCTCCAGTTCCTCCCTTTATTTACAGGTACATGAAGCTGAGGTAATGGGGTGGAAGTACTTAATATGGATATGTAGCTGGGAGGGAAGGAGGTGGGTAGCTAAGATTTTTTTTTTTTAGGTATGCTTAGTTAGAAGAGGGTATTGTTTGCATTGATGACACCCAAAAACCCCTATATATATCTTTAAAGGAGCATATCTATTGAACAGTCACCTCTGCCTTGTAATTTGAAGCCATGCCACTAAAAGACTCCAGGATTTTTTTTTTTTTTAAATGCAAATCTGCTCTGATAATGTGAGGAAACACCATAGGTAAAGCAGAAGGGAGGTGCAGACTGTTGTATTACCTGGTAGAAGCCCTGCTGCAGGGTTAATGAGCAGACACATACTAATGTCTTGGGACAGAGCTTTGAAGAATTTCTTAATCTTGGATGTCCTTGGAAGAGGAAGTAACCTTCTTGCTTTAGGAAGCCAACACTTAAAATTCTTTCAGAAATAATAAGCAATTGTAGCATGTGGTGAGCTGTTTTCTGAATAAATAAATATTAATCGTTTCAAAGAGAGGTAGAGGTATGATAAGTAAGGGAATAAATACTGCTTCCCCTGAGTGACTACTGAAAGTGTCCTTTAAGTTGCCTTTTAAGTTTGAAGATGCATCTTTTTGAAGAATAAGTAGCTCTGGGAAGACTTTGAAAGATGATCTGATTCATTCCCTTGTCAAGAGGCTGCCCCAACTATAAATCATCCCCTGGCAGAAATTTGTGTCTCTGGTTTAAAAAGTCAGTAGCCTGCTCAATGTTTGTTGTGTTATCCCTAGTCAGCTTTTTTTTCATTTCAGTTTTTATTGTTGTCGTTCTTGCATGTCTAATGTAGGACCTTTTGTTACTGAACACTCATCTGACAGCCCTTCAGGGCTGTGCAGATCCCGTTGTGCAGAGCGCTCTACAAGCCTGAGAAAGAAGGTTCTTGCCTTTGTAAGCTCCCTGTAGCTTGGTAGTCGTTACTGCTGGGATTAGGGTAAAATAATACTGACCAGCTCATGTGGGAGAAATTAGTGCTTTACCTTCCTGGTGGTTAGTGGATCTGTGAGAGATTGCATCAAATCTGTGGACAGCTGTACAGAGAGGAGCTTAAAAAAAAAAAAAAAGGCAGGGTGGAACTGCAAGGTGGGGGAGAACTACCAGATCACCTGTGGTATTGGGTTTTGGTGGTAGTGCCTGTTAACTGTGTGGTGTGTAGATCCTCCCTGTGTCAGGTGCAAGCACTACAAATTGTTTTCCTGCTCCAGAGAAGAGCAAAGGGCAGGGCTGAGCTGACTCCAAAGAGCCTGGGATTGCTTTATAATAGCATGTGCTAAAATAGAGAAAATCAGATCTCCCTTGGCTTGCCCTCCCCTCTCCCCACCCCAGGTGATATTACGTTACAGAGCTGAACGGGTGTGTGGAGGCTGGCTGGGGCAGGGGGTGTTAGTGTCTCCTGAAGGGCTCTGGGGCAGGTGCTTAGCTGGTGTCAGCTGAACTATGGCAGTAAAGGGAGAGTCCTAAACTAGCCTGGTCTTGGTGCTTTGCCACTGTCACAGATGTGGTGGTGGATCTTGTTGTCCTCACGCTCTGAACTGGGCTCCAAGTACAGCTTCTGTAAGGCCGTGTGGAGGGCAGAGCTGTGGGTTGGTGCTCACTTGGCAAAGGAGGCTCCCTGCTGCCCTGTGATACCTTAATCTCCCTGTTATTGGCTATAAACCCTAAATATGTAGTTTTCTAGTTCTGTCATGGATTTACAGCTTTAACTTGGTCCAGTTTGAGTACTAGTTGTGCTAGTAATGAAAGATAGCTATAAATTGCCAGTGATTTTGCACTTGGAAAAAATTGCTTTTTTTAAAGCTCTTTAAAATGCTTCTCTAAATATTAATAGCTACCTTAATTTTTGAAAGCTGGTAGGAGCTGTGTTTGGTTTAGTATACATTGGCTTACTACTAACAGAAATAATTGCAAGACTTACCTTCCAGAGCGTGCTAAGAGCCACTTCAGAGGAGCTGAAGAGGCAAATGCGTAGTTGCGTAAACAGAACTAGTAAAACTCATTGCTGTTTTTACTTTTTTTTTTTTTTTTGTATGAAGCAGTTATTAGAACTGGCTGCTTGAGCTACTCACTCCTTATATTCTAGCAAATAGCTCGTGGGTCACGATGGTGGGGAAGGTGTTACGTGCAGGAGCTGTTTGGCTCTGCGGGTGCATTAACATTCCTTCCCCTGAGTTAAGGGATCCTGTGTTAACGCTCGCTAGAATACATGAATGTGTAAGGAGTGGAGAACGGGCTTTAAAAACCTATTGCCGGGCTGCTTCATCGGTGGGGGACCAATACAATCCTCAGGCACTGCACAGAGTTATTTGTTGAGACTTTGTGTGTTAAAGTTGTTAGCGGAGTGGGTGGGACAGGCTTTGCTGGGGTGGGACGCTGTCCAGCTGAAACAGATGGGAGTGCAATGGCCATTTAGTATCTCTAAAAATACTGTTATCTGGGTCTAGCTCTAGTTTCTGGGCAGGAGCCGTGAACTTGATATGCTTCGCACACATGAAAATAAGGAGACTGTCAAATACATTGTGATTTTTTTGTTTGTTTTTCTTTTTCATCAGAAATACTGCATAAAGTTTTATTTTTGCCAGTTGCGATATCTTGCTCTCTGGATTGTCGAGAGGAAGATCCAATCTTCACGCATTTTTCCATCATATGTTCTTGTGATCATCAGGTAGTTATGACATTTCTTTTCCTTGTTGCAGCTTGTAGAGACCTCGTTAAAAGGAGAAATAGTCTTTGACCCCAGAAGTGCTTATTACCTCTGGTTTGTAATGGATTTCTGTGATGGAGGAGACATGAACGAGTATCTGTTGTCCCGAAAGCCAAACCGCAAGACCAACACCAGTTTCATGCTTCAGCTCAGCAGCGCGCTGGCATTCCTGCACAAAAATCAGATTATTCATCGTGATCTCAAACCTGACAATATTCTGATATCTCAGAGCAGGATGGATGCTGGTGACTTGGAGCCTACCCTGAAAGTAGCTGATTTTGGGCTGAGCAAGGTATGCTCAGCCTCAGGACAGAATCCTGAGGAACCAGTCAACGTAAATAAGTGTTTTCTATCAACTGCATGTGGGACTGACTTCTATATGGCCCCTGAAGTCTGGGAAGGACACTACACTGCCAAAGCAGACATCTTTGCTTTAGGGATTATAATCTGGGCAATGTTGGAAAGAATCACATTCATAGATACAGAAACAAAGAAAGAACTTCTGGGGAGTTATGTCAAACAGGGGACAGCGATCGTGCCTGTTGGCGAGGCGCTTCTAGAGAACCCTAAAATGGAACTGCTCATCCCCGTCAAGAAAAAATCCATGAACGCTCGAATGAAACAGCTGATCAAGGAAATGCTGGCTGCCAACCCGCAGGACCGACCCGATGCGTTTGAGCTAGAACTGCGATTAGTCAACATAGCTTTTAAAGACAGCAGCTGGGACACGTGACCTGCCGAGTCCCCCCTCTCCACAGAGCTGTTTCTCACCTCACTGATGGTGCAACTTAATGGCAGTAAAAGAATTGAGCCTGAACTCAAACCTGCAGGGTGTAGTTCCTACCAAACCAATCTCTTGAGTTTCATAAATGATGCCCATGTGAGCTGGCTGCGGTGTTAACGATGAGCTGATGTGTATGATACCAGGATGTTACGTGCAGGTGTAAGATGTGAGGATGTTTGTGTGCACTGGCTGGCGGTGGGTTGTCTTAAAGAGCTGAGGCTTGATTTCCAGCCCTGTGTCACGAAGTAATTTCGTACATTCCGGTTTCCTATGTCAGTATTAGGAACTCTCATGGAAAAAAAGTGATTTGCATGCTGGTAGTGCAAATCTTCAGGCTTTGTACAGTAATTCTGTGTATATAATTACGTATATGAGTGACTGGGAGTGTATGCCACTTTTTCTTAAATTATTTGCTATGGGTCTGAATGATTGGGGTCTGCTTGAAAACTAGGTGAAGAAGATAGATGAGAAGCATTCCTTCTTCTCCAGGCCTGAATAACTTTATTATTTATTTTTGTTATCTAATATCAAAGATAGGGTCTGAGACTTGACTTTGTAGACAAAAAAAAAAAAAAGCAATGCAAAGGGATCAGCAGTTTCTAAAGTGCTGACATGGCCGAGTTTAGCACTTACAGCTTAATGAGCTCGTCACCGAGGGAGTCAAATAAAAAAATACATGCAGTCAGGTGCTAGCATGTTGGCTAGTTCATCAATCATTCAATTTTGCTTTCTTTTAGTAATCAAATACTTTATTAATCAGTTAATCAACAGTTTCACAACATGCCCTCTACTCCTGTACCTATAACCCAATAGCACCTGGAGGATTTATAATAGCAGAGTACTGTGGGCTTACTCTATGGAAAAGTGGATGAGGGAATCCAGCAGCACAGCATGTTATTTTTAAGATTCTTCAAAAATATGGTGGCAGCACAGTTTTCCCATTGACTGAATCTAATTAGTAATGCAGGTCATGGCCTCTTCCTTTCTGGCACTGCCCTTAACCTGGTAGTGATGAGGAGATAAGAGGGTGACTGTTTGTCTTGTGGAACACGCCTATTCTCAGATACGGGAGAAAACTCAGTAGCCAGCATGTGAAAGGTATCTCTTGAGTTGTGTGGCAACCTTGGCTGTTTTTTTTTTAAATTTATTTATTTTCCTCCTTTTAAAGAAGTAATTTTTATTTAAAAGCACGGATGGTGGGGTGGAAAGCTTTGAAGTAGTTGAAAGGCTGCTTGTGCCCGGCTCTTGTTGCACAGAAGCAGATTGATATGCTGAGAGAGGTTTCGCTGAGGCCACCTGACACCCTACGGCAGACAGAAGCCGCTTTGTAATAGCGTAACACTTTGTTCTTGTGGTGCAGGACCGTGACCTTTCTCATCAATTTGACCTTTTGGGAAAAGTAGAAATGCCTTTAAAGGCAGATATATTAAAGCTGCAAGAAAACCCAGTTTTCTTAATAAAATCAGCTTCATGTTTTTTCCCAAATCTTACCTGAAAACTGCCTTAAGTATTCCTTTCTGTAACTTGCTTCTGGGACACTGTTCCCTCTTAATGCTGTGAGAGCAGTTCTGATCAGTCAGTGTTTGTTCTGCCTGAGTGAATAAACAGCATAAAATATAATAATTTTTTTTTTTGTCTTCCAAAAGCAAAGGATTCAGTTTCTTCCAAATTTCTGAGGCTTTACAGACTACAAGTCGTTCTTACTGGTGCTGTACAGAGCTGGCAGCAGTTACCCAGGAGGCCTTAGTACTTAATTCTTGTTATTTTGCTTCACTTTGTCATTTAAGGCAAGTTGTCTAAACATTGCTTCTCAGACAAATGCACTCTGCTGTCTCAAAACAAAGTTTACTCTTTATAAAAGGTGCTATAAAAGTAACTTCCAGAAGACAGTGATCCTGACTAGAGCAGAGCTCCTCGCTTCAGCGTGACTGCAGCCTCGTGCCTGCGCAGACACCCCGGTGTCGCTCCTTCCTTGCAGGGAGCTTAGTCTGTAAAAGAAGACTTGGAGCCTATCTGTGAGTAGTGATAAGAAGAAATCAATCTCTTTCTTATGTTCTAGAAGCAGAGATCTGTTTGTTCTCATGTTTTAGCTGAGTTCAGTACAGTTGAAGCCTCGGCTTGTTACTGAAAGGAGGAAAACAAGCCTCTCACTGCCTGTGCCAACACTGTTTCACAGTACTTACATTTCAGCGTGCTCATTCGATGAGTAAAGATTTAAGAGGGTATATCACTTTTCCCTGTTAAACTTGAGAGCTTTTTAAAAATACATTGCTAACTTCCTCCTCTCTTGCCCACTGCAAAAGTCAGAACCTACTGCAGAATAATCCTACTCACCTCTACGGTGCTTTGCAAATCGCCTGATGCCCCTCTGAAATATTTCAGAGGGCAAATGCTGAACATGCCTGCCTGCAGTGCAGCAAGGAGTGAATGGCACAGGAAGGTTTTGGGGTTTTTGACTCCTGAAGTGTTTCTTTGCACTGATTGCCACTTTAAAGGGTTGGGGGTACCTGAAATCCCTCTCATGGTGCTTAGCCTTGCTCTTGGGTGACACTGTTTGTTTCCTTGTTTAACACTGAATAGTAGTCCTCGAGGTCTGTGTCCTGTTTGATTTCTGTTGTCTGAGGTCTTTGTTTTAAAACTTTTGATAAATCCAATTGTTGTAGCAGCTACAGAGTTATTCACCAGCCTGACACGAAGTCAAGATACTTTTCAGCACTCAGAAAAGATTTTTTTTTTTCAAATCTTTCTTTAAAATTGTAAAATATATTTTATGGAGAATTTATAATGAGGAAAATTGTGTAATTTATTAAGTTCATGACTGTTTTTTTTGAAATAAAAATTGAATTTTGATGATGTTTCTGAACTTTCTACAGAGAAATGCTTTCTTCTCAGTCAGCACAATGTCATCTCGCTGTCAGCAGAGCTACAGAAAGGTTTATTTGCTGTGCTAGGACAGAAGTAAGCTGTGGTACTTCGTCACAGTCATCCCGTAAGTGATCCTGGGCTTGTAAAAGGTGCTAGGTTGGCTAATAGCTGTGCTGCTCATCTTCTGTGGGGAGCAGCAGTGCCAAACTTCCACTGGTGTGTAACGTGCTGCTGGAGGACGTGACAGAGCGAGGCCAAACAGGGTGTGAAAACAGAGCCAGCTCCTGGAGCAGCTGAGGTGAACCCTGTCTGTGGGGACCCTGCGGCTCCTGCCGAGCCCTTTGACAATCAAAACAGTGCTCTTCTGGGTGTGCTTCGTTTTCAAAGAGGGGATTAAAGAGTAAAAGCAGCATTCTTGCATCCAGTATGTACTTGTAGTTGTTATTACAAGCAGAGTACCACCCTGGGCTCTAAGGAAATCACTGGCAGGCTCTGCCTACCCCACTACTGGTACTACTGGATTTTTGAGGCTGCAAAGCCTGCGCCGAAGCGAGCCTTTCCCCTCTAGGTCCTGTGTGTGCCGGAGTAGGATTTTACCCAGAAAACAGCCAGCCCTTGCTGTGGGTGGGTGCTGCTGCCCTCCTGAGTGCCCCACAAGCCCCCGTGCAGAGAGCTGAAGGCAGCTCAGTGAACGTGTCTGTGTTTCTCTCTGGTGTGTGTGGGCTGAGCACTGCTGGCTTCATCTGGAGCTGGCACGGGCTGTCGGGGCAGCTCCTGGGTCTGAACCAGGCATAAATGGGTTTCTGGAGGTTTGTGGGGGACCGTGGCCTCCTGCTGTCACAATCCCCAAGAAACCCTTGAGGAAACACACATGATACAAAAGTCTAGTTATTTACATGTTTTAATTAATAGCCCTCTGGAACAAAGGGTGGTGCAGACTGGGAATGGGAATAGTGCATACTGGGAATTCTGTCAGTTGTCTTGCCATTTCTTACCCCCGCAACAAACCCAAGCCCAGCCACCTCCTGTGGGGCCGTGCACTTGCATCATCGCCTGCAGATTCCTGGTGCCAGAAATTGGCTGATTCCCCACCTGGCAAGAGCCGTGTGGTTAAATCGGTAAATCAATGCAGTCGTTGCAAAAGAGGGATTGAAATTTAGATTATTTTTTATTAAAGGATAAGTGCCTTAATTAAAGGAGAAAGTCACATTTCTGATTAGTTGTGAGAGTGGTGATTTTAAATATAGACACAAGCTAAATTCCTCCCCCACAAAATGAAGAAAATTAAGCCTACATACTTGAAATACATCTAGTCCATAGAGAAGGGGGAAAAAAACCCTCATGGAAGTGCCTTGTGGCAGAAATTAGATGTGACTAAGGCTGCAACTCTGCTCAGATACCCCAACCTCTGCTTTATTTCTCTTGTCCTGCAGGGTGCTGAGGCTTCAGGCTCCAGCTTGCCTGTCCCCTTTCCTCGGGCAGGGCTTGGCCGGGTGCTCCCAGCTCTGTAGGCTTGGGAATTGCCCTGTTTGTCTTTTCTCTTTGGTTTAAAACGGAGTTTTCCTTCGAGTCTGCCAATCGCAGCTGCTGCGCAAACTGCAGCGTAATGGCAGATGTTGTGTTGTGGTTGAGATAAAGTCCTGTCTTGGGGAGCCCACCCCTTGGAAGGGTGCCCTCATGTCACAAAAACAACTGTTTTTCCTTCCCCGTGCAGCGACTGGCCGAGTGGACCCGATCTGGTGGCCTTTGGACTGTGGCATCACAGTCTTGTGTTGCTTTTCCCTTTGCTCCGCGGATCCTCCTCTGGGGTATCAATCATTAAGCGTTTTTTAATCTTTACCAGTGGTTTGTGTGGTGAACACAAGTTGTCCCACAGAGAACTAGTTAGGATTATTTAAACGCAAACTCTTATTTAACGGGCGCTGCTGAGCGCTGTTTCGTTTCCCTTTCGGTCTGAGGGGCTGGGGAGCCGTTTATGCAAAGTGCAATTTCTATTCTTAAGTGCAGCGAAGGAAAAGGGATGTATCTGAAATGCCACCAGCCATCCTGAGTGTCTGGGGAGGGGAGGGAGGTGGAAATACAAGACGGGGCTGCTGCAGATCTCTGTTCACTAGCTCTGTCAGCGTTTTGGGGGAGCCTCAGACCGCACGTTTTTCTAAGTGGAACAAGCCAAGCACGGCGAAGTCGAGTGACCTGAAGGATGAGCTGTCACTGTGAGAGGAGCCGCAGCCCAGGTCACATTCTTGTTTAAATCTCTTTGTTCGCAGATGAATTTCCGGGTTATTTGGGTCTCTGAAGCAGAAAGCAGTTGCATAAGGGCTGCAGTTGGTGAGGAGCAGCCAGAGTCAGTGCAGGAGCCTGGGCTGAGCTGCGGCCGCTCTCTCTGGGGCAGCCCCACGTGTCCAGCTCACACCCCACACCCCACCAGCTGAAGTGGGCTGGGGTGCTGGGGGATGCCCCAAAGAGGGAAAACTGCTGCTAGAATTGCAGGTGCCCTGAGGCCTCTCTAATCTCTGGGATTTAAAGTAAAAACAGGTGCAACCTACACACCTTTGCAGGTCCCTTGCAGGTGGTGGGTTCAGCCCTGATGCTCATTGCTGACCCTGGGGAGGTTCCCTCAGTCCTGGCAGCTCGTCCCCTCTCTCTCTGCCTTTCCTTTCTGCCCCTGTAGGTGCAGGACTGACCTGTTTTCCTTCCCAGAAACCAGCCAGCCAGCAGAAGCCGTCAAGGCCATCGCCTGCCATGGGCTTTGAAGCCGCCATTGGGGGTATGAACAGGAGCCTCAGTGTCTTGTGCTGGGCCCAGCTGCTCTCTGGTTCCTACTTGCACCAACTTGTTGCTGGCTGCCTTCGATGAGGTGGTGGTTTCAGATTTATTCATGCTCATTTGAGCCCTTGGTATTTTTAAACTTGTATAGCCAGCCTTCCCGAAGGAAGGCGCCTGCACCCTGGGCCCTCTCTGGCTCACAGTCACCCAGCTCCCATGGGCCCTTCTCCAGGCGGTGGCATTTGCATGGACCTCAGACCAGAAAGAGCTTTTGTGGGTTGTGAAAGTAAACCAGCAAGTAGAAACAGATGGCTGTGTTATCAGGTGCTACAGTCCTGCCTGCAGCTGGTCTTGGTGGAGTTAAAGTGATTTTTTTTTTTTCTCTCTTTTTTCTTTTTTTTTTCCCCCCTCCCTCCCTGCCCTGCTCTCCTCTCTGGATCCACGCTCTTGCTATGCTGTTCCACTGCTGCTCCTCAAGCCTGATGTGTGGGTTATGAGGTGGGGACGTAATTAGCAGCGCTGAGAGGGCCGTGTCCCCCTTTACCAGGGGCCAGGAGGGCTTGTGGGGAGCAGGGCTGTTTAATCGAGAACTAGATGTGCTCTGAAAAATGGTGTTGGACGGAAGATCTGTGCTGTGGGATTTGTGACCTTTGAGGACTTTCTCGGGCTTTTCTCACCCGTCCCAAGGACTGCAAGTTTCCGTACCTGGCCCCAGTGGTTGGGTTTTGCCCGGGGTTGCTCTGCTTGCCTGGCACTGAGCAGGGAGGGGAGGGAAGTGGGGCCCCACTGAGGAGCAGAGAGCACCTTGTGAGAGCTCATAGTGACCATAAATAAAAACAAGGGACTTTGAACATCCATGTAACTAAGAAAAGCCACCTGGTCCATTCACAAGAGGCTGATTAATCGGGTAAATCCCTTCCTAGAAGTTGAAGTGACAAACCCCCCATCGCCTTCCTGAGGGAAGCAGGAACTGCCTGGGATGCTGGTGCTGGGAAGGGCCCCTCAAATTATTCCTTTTTGTATCCCAAAGGGAATCTGCCTTGTCCAAATATAACAGTTCAACAGTAAGTGCCTGGTGGGTGCTCCGAGGAGGAGCTGGAGAGGAGGGCAGTTGCTCCAGGGCAGGGGTAGGCGTTTGGTAGGAGCATCCCCTGGGAACACTCTGCATCCGCCAGAGAAAGGGGAATCCAAGGCTGCTCTTACTCACTTGTGGCTTTACCGGAATGGCTGCCGGGATTTCAGCTGCGAAAAGAAAATGTGTCCTAATAAACAGTGATTCACTTTGCCTGGAGTTAAAAATAAGGCCCTGTTGGCTGCCTGTCTCCCACGTGGGAACCCAGTTGCTCTCTTCCTCAGGGCAGATCCCAGGGCTGCCACAGGTTTCTCCACCCCTCGTCCCCATCCCTTTCCCCGTCTTCCTCTGGGGTGGCCGCATCCTGCACATAGAGCCCGAGTGCTGCTGGCAGCACAGCTGCCTGCGTTGCTCCTCTCCAGGTTTATTAGAATAGAATAGAATAGGTGGTTTGTCCCTTCCTTGCTTTCACCGGGATGTTTTTCCGGTGCCGGCAGAGCTGGGACAAGCCCTGGCCACTCTCATCCTGCTCAGCCTCCATTTTAGTCTCTGGTTTCATCAGGCCCCGAGTCCTGTCTCCGGCCTCTTCCTGGCACTGGTGCCATCACACAGGGAGGTGCTGGACACTGACTGGGCCCCAGTTCCCGGCACTGGCTCCCCAGCAGGAAGGAACTGGGATGGGGGCCAGTAGTGCTCGGGGCCAGGTCCCCTCTCACCCAGGGACAGAGCGCCCTGGCCTGCGGGTCCCAGGACAAATGTCACAGCTTTGTCCCCACTGGAGCCTCCTGGTCCCCTGAGTCCCTGCAAGCAGCCTGGGCTGGGCTGTGAGAGGGATGGAGGGAGCTGGGGTTCCTCGGGGAGCACTGGGGGTGTTCTCTGACCCTGCTCCGGGGTACTGGAGCCCAGCTCAGGGTGCAGCATGTGCTTCCACATTCGCAGCCCCCCAGGCAGGCTCTGGGGATGGAGGGGGGCTGGGGGCTGCCCTTGTGGGATCGCTCAGCCCTCGGGAAGGGGAGAGGGCAGTGGTAAAAATAACCCCTGGGCCAGCTCCAGCCCGTTGTGGCTTCCTGCGATTTACAGCCCTTCCCGGGGGGAAGAGGAGGCAGGAACGGGCCTGGCTCAGGCCTGGCTTTGACCCTTTCGCCGCCAGCAGAGAAGGTGCCAGAAGGACCCTTCCTCCCTCCTCCCTCGCCAGCTGGGGCAGGATCCTGGGGAGGGGGATCGTGGGGGGCTCCTGCTCCTGAGCTGTGCCCAGCATCTCGGGGTGGATGTAGAAGAAGAAGCTGCCAGAGTAGACATGATTTCCCTGTCCCATTCCTGATGCCCTGTGGGCTGGGGGGACAAAGGACTCATTCCTGCCTGGGAGGAGGCAGAGATCTCTGCTGCGGATCCAAAAATCCCGACCAGGCTCCTGTAAGGAGGCAGAGGGAGAAGGAGAGCTGGCAGAGGTGAGCTGGAGGTGCTGGAGAAGGAGGGTTAATGCTGGCTGGGCAGGGCTCCGGGGTGTGAAGGCTGTGGCTGGGGCGTGGGGGTCATGCTGGCAGGGTGGGCTCCTGCTGACGGGGCCGGGCTGGCAGGAGTTAATGGGGTGGCTCTTCCTCAACCTCTATATGAGGCTCCTGCTGGCTCTGGGCTCAGTTTGCTGCCGGCAGCCAGAGGGGCAGGAGCTGAGTGAGTCTGGAGCATCCCTGCATCCCATCCCTGCGACCCTTCTCTGCATCCCTGCGTCTCATCCCTGCGACCCTTCTCTGCATCCCTGCGTCTCATCCCTGCGACCCTTCTCTGCATCCCTGCGTCCCATCCCTGCGTCCCTGTGTGGGCTCAGGTGAGCGAGAGCATCCCCCACCTGCCGAGGCGGGTGTCTGGGCACGGATCCTGGCAGCAGGGCTGGGCTGGGGAGTGTGCAGGCACACCGGCACGGGCACTTGCTCCCGGGCACGCTGGCTCTGCTAGGGTGAAGCCAGTGGGTGACGGGACCATGTGTGGGGACACCTTCCCTTGAGCCCTCCATGGAGCTCTGGCCAGCAGTGAGGGTGGCTGGGGAGCTTGTTCCTTGGGAGCACAGGACCAGCGTGCCTCAGTTTCCCCATCTGTACACCAGGACTGAGTGCAGTGTCGGAGCCCATGGGCTCTTTAGTGAGCCCTGTTCTGCCTGGCCCCATGTCCCTGCTGTCACCCGGGGAGGCTGCAGGGCTGGGGCAGCTCCTGGCAGTGGGGGTGACTCTTCATGGCCATTCAGGCCTGTTCTCTGCGGAACCATCCGCTTTGGGCATTTACAGCCCCCGGCTCAGGCTCCAGACCCCCTTCCCCCAGCACCCATCTCCACCACCGGGCTCGCAGCCCGGACCCACATGGGTGCTCGGGTACAGCTGAGCAAGAGCCATCGCACCCCAGGGCTAATAAAAGCCCCTTTGCTCCACACCCCCGCCGCATGGGGCAGGAAAGGTTCAGTCCCTCCCAGGCATCTGAGCTCAGCACGGAGACCCCAAAACACCCCCCAGCCCCTGCCCTGCTGCCCCACACACGGGCCCGGCCGGGGCAGCTCGCCAGCTCTCCTGAGCACGGGCTTTGTTCTGCTGTCCCTGCACTCGGAAGGATAAGGCGGTCGGCTCCGGTATTTTTTCCTGTTGGAAGCGGCTCCTGGGATGCGGGTGAAGCCGGCGGATGCTCTGCGCTTCTTTCTTCCTGCCCGTGGATTGTTCCTGCCTGGGCTGGCAGGGCTCGCTGCCTGCTGCCTGCCTGCTTGGCCGAGGGCAGCACTGCCCTGCCACGTGTGGGATCCAGGGGACCCCCCGGCTCCGCTTCGCCCCCCATTCTCCTCCTGCCTCTGCTGCATCCTCGGTGCTAACCCCGGCTCTCCTCTCTCCTCCCAGGGCTGAACACAGGAGCTGAGCAAAGCTTCGGGAGACTCTCCAGCTGCAGCACCGGACCCCCCCCCAGCCACTCAGGGGGGAGCAGAGAGACCAGGGGTGCCGTTTTGGGGCTGGGAGATGATGGTGCCCCTGGGCAGCCCCCCTCTTGCCATCTGTGCCTCTAGCAACCTGCGCCTCGTGGCCCCCGGCCGCGGCTCCC